CCGCCTGGGACCCCTCGGCAGCAGCTGCAGGAACGGCCAGGAAAGCCACCTGAGGGGTGCTGCTGCCTTTGGAATGCAAAGTGAAATTGGGGGGCAATAGTCCCGTCCTGCCCCTGCCCCTGCCCCTGCCCCTGCCTCAGCCTCAGATGAAGAGTAGAGGAAGCAGGTGCCGTGGTGGGTAGAGTGGTGGGACCACCCCTCCCTCAGCCCCGCCGCCAGGCTCCAGGCCACCCTGATGCTGCCTCTGCTGTCACCCAAGAAGAGGGGGCTCTCCCCTGCCATGTGCCATGAGCCGCGTGACTCCCCACTGCCACGGGCACCTTTGCGTGGCATCGGGTGTCAGCTGCTCCTGTGGCGCTGCCCCACCCTCTGTACCAACTGCCAGGTCTGGGTCATATGTCCAACGTGTAGAGCAGGTGAGAGAGGTTCAAAGGTCAGTACTGATCTCTGCATGCCCGTGGGCTCAGCCCTTCTGTCCCCTCATCTTGTTTCGACACGTGGCCAGAGCAGTGCATGTTTGATACCGGCAATGCCAGGCCCGCCTCCTTCCCTCAGCCGGCCCTGGTTGCCTGTGGCCCCGGGGGAGTCATCAGAGTGCAGCCGCCGAGGTGTCCGCCTCGTATAGTGGCGATCGCGGGGTCTGGTATGCTCTGGCGGGGCCGCCGAGGTGTCCCCAGGGTACTTGGGAGTGCCAGCACACCCTTGCTGCCATCCCGGCTGGGCAGACGCGCCGTGGTGCAGGCCTCACAGGCTGTGGGGAGCCTGAGCCCCACCTGCTCACCTGGGAACCTCCCTGGTTTTGAGAGTTGACCTTGGCCTGTAGGGGTCAAGTCCCTAGCCCAGGCACGTAGGCATCACCTTAGGGGGCCACAGGTACCTAAGCAGTGACAGCTTTGTGTGCGGGGAGCGGGCACAGCAGCGAGCCTGCGCTGGGGCCTGTGAGCACCTGGCCACGCCCTAGCCCGATGCACCTGCTCCCACCGGCTGCGCTTGCTCACGCCTGCCCTCCCCAGATGCTGGACGAGAACCACCAGCTGATCCAGTGCATCCTGGACTACCAGAGCAAGGGGAAGGCAGCAGAGTGCACCCAGTAAGTCATCCGGCCCGCCGAGCGGCAACGCCCGTGGGTGCAGGGCAGGCGTGCCTGCACCTGGGAGCCGAGGTCACATTCACCCAGGAGCCCAAGGGACCGCCCTTCCCTCTGTCACCTCCCAGCAAGAGGTGGGAGGGCAGCTTGGAGGGCCATTGCAGGGCAGGAGCTGGGGGGGACCCACCAGGGATGCCAGTTTCTCCAGGCAGGACCTCCAGTGACCCAGGGCTAGACTCGACAGGCTGTCGCCCTTGCCTGGAGATGGAGGGTGTGGGCTCCCTGGACCGCACCTGTGGCCTGTGTTGGGGCCCTGGACTCTGGCTGTGATGCACATTGCCATGGACCTCAGACGCTGGGTGTGGCGTGCATCACCCTGGACCCTGGGCCCAGCCCGGGAGTGCTATTCATCTGGGCCTGGGGCCCTGATAGGGCTTGACTGGGTGGTTGAGGGTCGTGGCAAGACCTTTGCCACTTCAGGTGGCCTCACGTGAGCCCTGCCTGCAGGTACCAGCAGCTCCTGCACCGGAACCTGGTGTACCTGGCCACGATCGCAGACTCCAACCAGAACATGCAGTCGCTGCTGCCCGCCGTGAGTACGCATGTGCCCGCCAGGACGTGGCCTCCGCCGGGGCG